CCCCCCCCGCGCTGGCGGGGGCGGAGCAGAAAAGACCGTCAGGGCAGAGGGGCGGGGCCGGGGACAGAGCCGGGGGCTGAAGGACCGGGTTTAGGTTCCCGGGTTAAGAACTGGGATGATGGGCAGAGCCTGAGCTGAGTGACCAAACCAAGGACTCAACGCAAGACCTGTCCTTAAGGGCAGGTCCTGGGCAAAGAAACTGTGCCTGGACAAGGGACACAGCCTGAGCGGAGGGTTGGGGCAGTGTCCACAGGGCGGAGCCTGGTGTGAGGAGCACAGGTCTCTGAAGATTTGAAAACTGCCTTGCTCCAGGTTCAAAGTGGGGAGGTAAACACCGGGGATATTAGTGTAGTCAACATAAGGAAAGAAGGCCAAAAATGTCAGAGTCAGTTTGCTGTATGGTGTGAAATGAGTTCTCACAGAAGATGTATTTGAGTGTGTGAAACACTGACACAGTAAATCAACATTATTATTCTAATAATGAAAGTGGTTCTCGCTCACCACACTGAAAATGATTTAGCAAGTGAGCAAAGGCTAACAACTTTCCGTTAGGACACTTAACCTGAATGTTTCTTAAGCACAGTGTAAAGTATAATGTTAAACAGCCTTTGGTGAGTGGAAGATTTTAGAATGCTTGGAGCAGAGTAAAAAGTGCTCATAAGACAACTAGAAACGGAAACAGCAAGAGCAAACTGTTGAGCAGAACTTGTTTATCCTCCCTAAGTTCTGCAAAGAATATTCTTATCCTCGTTTTTCTCCAATTCACAAACTGAAAAGCTAAGGTTTATAGTTGAACTCATTCTAGAAAGCTAGGATTTGAACCCAAGCACCATGGTTTCCAGTTCATTCTTTACACTACCTGTCAATATCTAAGCCTCTCTTTCTGAGAGATCAGGTTGCAGGGAAAAAGAGCCAGCCAAAGAAACACACCCTGATCAGAGCCAAAGAAACACACTTTGGCTCTGCAACCAGAACCAAAGAAATGTACAGTGACCCTGATTCCAGTGAGACACACTTTAAAGAAACACACTTTATCCCTGGAATCAGAGAAATACACCTGACCATAAAATTATAGCCAAAAGACTAAACGGAAAGAAACATACCTTGGCCATGAAACCAGAGCCAAATCTGACCCTAAACCTGTGCAGAAAACCAACCAATCCCTGATCATGAGATCTAGCCATTCAGAGCTCAGGGGCTGAAATCTGACCAATTCCCATACTGGAAATTTCCCTGGAAGAACTCCTCCCCTAAGAAGCTTTATATAAACCCTGTGCCTGTTCAACTTGTGGCTGTCAGACTTCCCAGCTGTCCTCTGCCACCCTGGTAGAGGGCAGACACTCTCCTGGATTCTTCCCTCCCAATAAATCTCTTGAATGAGGTTTGGGTGAGACCTTCTTTTTCCGGAATGGAGCAGAGGAGAGAAGTAACAATTTTTGACTAGAGCCAGAGCTGAACAGAGAGAGCCAAACAGGGTTATAACACTTTCGCTGAGGACCCCTTCCCCTTGCTAAGTGGAGTTGTTACACTCCAGGGACCTGAGGCGATCTGTACCAGTTTCTCTAGGGAAGCCCTCTCCTGCTGGAGCAGAGCTGTTATACTGGGGAAGATTTTCCCTGGAGCAGGGCTGTAAGCTGCTACACTTACTGTGACCTGTGGTATTCTTTGGCTCCCCAGAGTGCCAGAATACCTTTCCATCCAAGCTGTAACACTCAGTATTCTTTGGCTCCTGAGTGCCAAACTCCTTGTCCATCCCATCCAAGCTGCTGCAATGATTACACAGGTCACCTTAACATTTCTACAAGGGGGTGGTGTGTCTACTCTTCAACAGATATGAAGCCAGACTGCAAGAATGCAAGAAAATTAAAACAAAAACAAATGAGGTACTGCAATTAATTGTTATTGAATATAAGGAAATCGAGGTCCAAACAGAAAAATCATCTCAGCACAAGTTCTTTGAACTAGAAGTGACCTAGATATGATCCAGTTTCCCCCAAACAAAACTAAACTGAAACTAAATTACTCCAGAGATAAGAGGAAGATTTTAGAATAGCAAGGAGAAAGAGAGGCAGATTTCCTCTACAGTGGACACATGTGCCTCGTCTTTCTTCCCATCCCTATGACTGAGAGCCAACCTGTAACTACAGGTGTATATGAGATGACATCATCAAGATCAATTACTTATTTTAGAGCCTTTCAATTGGAAAGGCCTATAACCCTATGAAGACAATTAAACTGACAGTTCATGTGGCTCACTACATTTACATAGCAATGCTTCCTGTCTTCCCTAAGGTTTCTCTTGCTTTCACTTTCCACTAACATGTCACTAAGATGGAGATGGCAAAGAAATTGCCTCCAGCAAATGTAATGTGATCTTCTCTAGCTGAGCATCCCAGCACATTGGAAGCTGAGGCAGCAGCATATTGGGTTTGAGACCAATGGAAAAATCCTGAGCTAGCCAGGACTACATCAAAAGACCGTATCTCAAACGGTCAACAGCAAAAAGAATTTCATGACAAAAGCCATCTAATGATGTTTTATGTTATAACATTTTACTTGGAAATCATGACCACTTTACATGAAGTTGCAAAGATGCAAAATGGTCTGGGGCATTTATCCATCCCCCCATCCAGCTATTCTACCTTATGTAAGTACAGTACAACATGAAAACATATCCTACACTGGTATGATGTGTGTATAGCTCTATTCCACTTTGTCACCTGTAAATTCATGTAACCATCACTGCATCACACACAGAGATTTCCTTCCTGATATTCTTATAGTCACTCCCCATGCATTTCTAGTACTATCCTGTCTTAGTTAGGATTTTATTGCTGTGAAGGGCAGGTGGGATGTTGGGGGGGGGAGAGGGGAGGGAGAGGGAGAAGGGATTGACATGTGAAGCAAGCTTGTTCCTAATTTGAACTAATAAAATAAAAAAATAAAAAGAAATATCATTAAGCCAAAAAGAAAGAAAGAAAGAAAATAAAAGAAAGGAAAAGAAAAGAAAAGAAAACACCATGACTACAGAAACTCTTATAAAGGAAAGCATTTCATTGGGGCTGACTTACAGTTTCAGAGGTTTAGTCCATTATTGTCATAGAGGGAAGTTTGGTAGGCAGGCAGACTGATGACGTAGCTGAGACTTCTCCACCTGGATGGGGGTGAAAATGCCATAAGGTAACCTGCTAGTTTGTAAACTCACAAAGTTTTTAAAGGAAGAAAGGAAAGAGAGAAAAAGGAAGAGATAAGACATAGGAATGGGGTTGGCAAATTTCTATCTAATAATAAAGCTTGAAATGATATATGAAAATATAAACAAACTATTTGAACAGATATTTGTCAAAAATCTACAGAAATTAATAAGTACACAAAAGATCTTCAAAATCTTTCATCATCAGGGAAATACAAATCAATATGTCAATTAAATGCCTCTTCACACTCACTCTAGTGACCACAATGAAAAAAAAAAAAAAAAAACAAGCTGAGAATAGTGGTATAGGCCTGTAAACTCAACTACTCTGGGAGCCTGAAGCATGGGTATTGTTTAGCCTGGTCTGGGAAATACAGCAAGACTTCATTTGCAGAAACAATAAAACAATAGGTTTAATAGGTTATAAAAATAAATATTGGAGAGGATATGGAGAAACTGGAACCTTCTTATGTTGCTGATAGGAACGCAAAGTTATGTAGCCACCATGGAAAACAAGTTTGACACTTCTTCACAATGTTAAACATAGAGCTGTCAAGTGACCCAGCAATTCCACTCTTGTGTGTAGGTCCAAGAGAACTAAGAACATTATATGTTCACATAAAATGAATATTCACTGTGGCATTGCTTATTCACACTAGCCTAAGAAGTGAAACAACTCCCATTCCAGTGCTCAAGCCTTCGCACCTCATCCTCCTCCCTGAGATCAGCCCTTCCCCCAACCCCAGCAGGTTGCCACTACTGGGTGAAGGTCATGCCGGTTGAAAGAACAGAGACCAACTCCCTAACCCCCACTGCCACACCAAAGGCCAAACTAAGCACCAGAAGAAGGCCAGCTCAAAACTTGGACAGAGACTCCCTATTAGATCAGCACCGCATGGAGCCTTCTCCAAAATTTACTATATAGTCACAAAGCAAATCTCAACAGATACAAAAAAAACTTAAATAACCACCTGTATCTTATCACATCACAAGGATTAAAGTTGGATTTCAACAACAGAAAGCTTACAAAGTCACAGAAACTGAATAACTCTCTATTGGGTCAAGGAAGAAAGATCAGGAAGCAAGGAAGGACAGAAGAACG